CGCCCCCCAGAAAGTCGGCCATTTTGAAAAATGTGCGGTTTTTCAGCCATTTTACGCACGTTCTTGCAAACTCCTCCTAGGGGAATGATCAGAAAAATTCCAATGCAGGACAGGTTTAGCCCCTATCCAATATGATACTTAATTGAGGAGCACATCTTTGAAAAATTACTCGTGGAGGTCGTAAGCTAACAGCGAATACACCATTTTTGACGATTCACATGTCACAAATTACTCCAAATTACTCCAAACTACTCGCGATATAGTTTTTCCAGATATTCACGAAACGCTGTATACATATTGCTATTATGATTGCACACATATTTCAAATTGCCTTCCATTAGCCCCGCCCACCAGAAAGTCGGCCATTTTGAAAATGGCCGTTTTTCATGCATTTTAAGGACATTTCTGCAAACTCCTCATAGGGGAATGATCGGAACAATTCCAATCCAGGACAACTTCAGCGCATATCCAATGTCATGCTACATTGAGAAGTAATAGTCCTTCGCTCAAACGGGGAGCTCGTAGGCTAACGGAGAATGTACCATTTTTGACCAATTATATGTCAGATAAGCTACTGAGGCCTGCCTGTTTGCCTGGCACATCAACTCTCACACACACACACACACACACACACACACAAACACACACACCTACTGTTAGTCCAACAACGCCCTTTGCTGGCGGCATATTCATTACAAAAGACACTCGCTAACCCTAACCCTAACCCTAACCCTAACCCTAATGTTTATTTGTAGATATCTCCTAAAGCCTACAAATAAAGTGTGACATGTAGGCCTGTTACATTTGTTATTGAGCGATATATATTATACACACTGTTCTGCTTTCTGCACTGACCTCAGCAGCTGTTCTCACTGTAACATCACCTAACATCCAGGGGACATGTGATTAGTGAGTAAACAAACGGTAAAGGGCAGAAAGTCTGATGCACATTTGATCATCTCAAATAACTTATAATCACAACGGGAACAGTTTGCAGAGCTGTGCTTCGTTTGACAGAAGTCCAGCCATGCGTCACGCCTCTTTTAAACATCACTGTTGGCTGAAATCGTCTCAGGAGAATACTTCAGTGTACCCTCGGTTATAGCTCCTCCAGAGACACTCCTCTCTCCTCTAAATCAGTGTATCCTCGGTTACGGCTCCTCCAGACAGCCTCCTCGATAATCGATCCTCGACGACCCTTTAGAGAAATTTGTTTTCCTTCGACATCCGTTTCCGGGTCGCTGCCGGAGCACCTGGGAGTCTGGGACGCGGAAAATTAGAGAAATGACAAACGGCTCATTTCCCAGGACTCGCGCACGTCTGCTTGACGCCGGGGACGACCTGCCGCCCTCCCCGACAGGCGCACGGACGCGAGGGCCCGCTCATCACTGCGCGCACAAGTGCGACCGCAGTTTTAATTATTATTATTCTGCATATTTCCATGCTTATTTTCAGGCCTTTAGGATGCTGAGAAAGTTGTATAATTTTGCACAGATTCCAGAATCGGTGAAAACTTAGATATTCTGGACTCAATGTGTTCAAATTGTCCAACATGCTCTCTAGCGCCACCTATGGCCATTTCCGTTTTTGGAAAGATGTACAAAGTCGCACCGTAACTCCAAATGACCTGACATTTTTCACACTTACTCGGGTGGACCTGCTCTACATATAAGGTCCAAGTACCCGTAAGCTCCGCCTACTTTATTTTTTTTTAAATTAGCATAATTTGAAAAACAGTTAAATATTCACTTAAATTTCAAATTTTGGTTTTTCAACACCAAACTCAGTATACAGTATCGCCGGAGGGTCAGACACATTATCGTAGGAAATGAGCATGTTCAGTTGATAAATGTGGTCGTCATTACTCTAAATGTCTTCGCAAAAAGGCGGGGCTTAGATAGAAATGCTCATAACTCATCAACAATGTACCAAAAAAACACACATTTTGGTGGTAAGGTTCAGTCTGTATTGGGGAAGAAGCACAAAAAGTAATTTCCATTTTGGACTATAGGGGGCGCCAAAAACATGACAAATGTCTAACTCATGAACTGATGGACGAAATATTTTTCTTTTTTTGTAGACATACTCTGGGGATGAGTATGGACTTATATTCAAAGTGTCACAACGAATGACAAATGTGGGCGTGGCCTGTACTTTTTTTTTTATGACGATGAGCTAAAATGGTTTTCGTTACGCAAAAATTGGTACACGAGTCACAGCCCACGACCTTTTCCATAATGTAAAAAAAAAACGTACATTTTCAAAAAAACTGCTCACTAGCGCCCCCTATTGTGTGGTAGTCGCATATAGTTTCTCAGAACTTCACGAATGTTGGCACAGACATTCCTCATGGAATTGCGGACATATTTGTACATACATTCCATTAGCCCCGCCCCCCAAAAAGTCGGCCATTTTGAAATATGTGCGTTTTTTATGCATTTTAAGCACATTCGTGCCGATTCCTCCTAGGGGAATGATCGGAAAAATTCCAATCCAGGACACGTTCAGCCCCTATCCAATATGATACTTAATTGAGAAGAACATTTTTGATAGCTCAATCGTGGAGGTCGTAAGCTAACAGCGAATACACCATTGTTGACGATTTACATGTCGCAAATTACTCCAAATTACTCGGATATAGTTAATCCGATATTCACGAAACGCTGTATACATATTGCTATTATGATTGCACACATATTTCAAATTGCCTTCCATTAGCCCCGCCCCCCAGAAAGTCGGCCATTTTGAAAAATGTGCGTTTTTCAGCCATTTTACGCACGTTCTTGCCAACTCCTCCTAGGGGAATGATCGGAAAAATTCCAATGCAGGACAGGTTTAGCCCCTATCCAATATGATACTTAATTGAGGAGCACATTTTTGAAAAATTACTCGTGGAGGTCGTAAGCTAACAGCGAATACACCATTTTTGACGATTTACATGTCGCAAATTACTCCAAACTACTCGGATATAGTTATTCCGATATTCACGAAACGCTGTATACATATTGCTATTATGATTGCACACATATTTCAAATTGCCTTCCATTAGCCCCGCCCCCCAGAAAGTCGGCCATTTTGAAAATGTGCGGTTTTTCATGCATTTTACGCACATTCGTGCCAACTCCTCCTAGGGGAATGATCGGAAAAATTCCAATCCAGGACAACTTCAGCGCATATCCAATGTCATGCTACATTGAGAAGGAATAGTCCTTTCGCTCAAACGGGGATCTCGTAGGCTAACGGAGAATGTACCATTTTTGACCCATTATATGTCAGATAAGCTACTGAGCCCTGCCTGTCTGCCTGGCACATCAACTCTCACACACACACACACACACACACACACACACACACACACAACACACACACACACACACACACACACACACACACACACACACACACACACACACACACACACACACACACACACCCTCGCTAACCCTAACCCTAACCCTAACCCTAACCCTAACCCTAATGTTTATTTGTAGATATCTCCTAAAGCCTACAAATAAAGTGTGACATGTAGGCCTGTTACATTTGTTATTGAGCGATATATATTATACACACTGTTCTGCTTTCTGCACTGACCTCAGCAGCTGTTCTCACTGTAACATCACCTAACATCCAGGGGACATGTGATTAGTGAGTAAACAAATGGTAAAGGGCAGAAAGTCTGATGCACATTTGATCATCTCAAATAACTTATAATCACAACGGGAACAGTTTGCAGAGCTGTGCTTCATTTGACAGAAGTCCAGCCATGCGTCACGCCTCTTTTAAACATCACTGTTGGCTTAAATCGTCTCAGGAGAATACTTCAGTGTACCCTCGGTTATAGCTCCTCCAGAGACACTCCTCTCTCCTCTAAATCAGTGTATCCTCGGTTACGGCTCCTCCAGACAGCCTCCTCGATAATCGATCCTCGACGACCCTTTAGAGAAATTTGTTTTCCTTCGACATCCGTTTCCGGGTCGCTGCCGGAGCACCTGGGAGTCTGGGACGCGAAAATTAGAGAAATGACAAACGGCTCATTTCCCAGGACTCGCGCACGTCTGCTTGACGCCGGGACGACCTGCCGCCCTCCCCGACAGGCGCACGGACGCGAGGGCCCGCTCATCACTGCGCGCACAAGTGCGACCGCAGTTTTAATTATTTTTATTTTTCGTCAGAATGTAAAAATTATATTAGTTACACATTTTTGTTCTCAAAAAACTGCATTGTGTGTAATACAACTGTGATTTTTATTAAATTAGTTAGTTTTTAAGGAAGGCCAGAGCTTCAGCTCTGTCAAATAGATTGTTCCCTTTAGTTAACGTTATTTAAAAGATAATGATTATGTCCCCTCTATTGTATTACGAGCGTCCATTGGATAACGGAGAATTGTACACCCGGAAGTAAGTATTCTCCTTACTGTCGATTGATTTTACAGTGATATCTGCACTACTCATCGACTAAAAAACACCAGATTATCCTTGTTAATTACACAACATTGATTGGTTTGAATTGTGTACAATGCTTTTGTATTTTCCCCCTTCGATTCGGAGAAACAAATATTTTTTCGGAGTTTTAGGATGGCCGAAGACACTACACTACCCAGAATCCTCAGCTATCGTTTGGGACTACACCATGTGCTTAGCTTGACAAACCCCGTGATCAGTCCTCAAGCTCGACATTAAATGGCCCGCATCATAATAACAAATCATTACCATGCTGTCATGAACGTGCGGTGCTGTTACGTGTACGCAAATTGATGTGCTTGATGTGAAGGAGCATTTTGGTTAAAGTTGCGCATGCGCTATGAGCGCACATACGGGTACTTCTCAGGCATGCCGGGTAATCTGTGACGTTTTGCTCTCTCAAAAGTTGGGCCATTTTATCATCATGCGCTAATGAGCAACTCTCATAGGAATGAATGAGGCCCCGCCTCCTACGCTGTATCCAGTTCTTATTATACATCCATGCGTTTGGCCAGCACGAATATTTTGATCTGAGTCCGGCGCACTTCCTGGGGGCTTGCTTCAGAGAGGTGGAGACTGCAGTACGTACACACACACTCTCACATACTCTCACACTCTCTCTGATCCTAGCAGTGGCTGAGTGAACATGCATTCATCATGGCAGCTTCCCCCAACGAGTCAACGCCTTAGCTACACTTGGGTCATGGAAATGAGTAAGTCTGGACAACAGCGTAAATGTAGTAATTTTAATAGATGCACACCCTTCTCTGTTCACAGGGCTTTATGCTTATACTCGCCCACCATTTATTTTTTTGCAGTCTAAAATGTATTACACGTGCTTTGACGTTGATGCTAAGCTAAAATATGCTCTCGTCGGTGGGCTCCATGTGGCATTACAAAGTGCTATAACGTTTATAATTGACAATTGGCCTTTTTTCCTAAGGAGCAACAACGTTTTAAAATGGCGCGTGAGTTTTTACTATGTATAAAACGTGACCAGCAACATTAAGCTATTGAATCAGTTTTGAAGCACGTGTTTAATAGATGTTACATATTTAAAGCAAGCTTATAGGATGGCCAATGTTAGCCGTATTTACAGCTCGAAAATATAATGCAAGTATTAATATCCTCACTTTCCAACCTGCAGGTTCTGCTGCTTGATGGCAGGGGCCATTTACTCGGTCGGCTTGCTGCCCTCGTGGCTCAACGGGTTATGTTGGGTAAGTCATTATAGCAAGCATTAACACTTTAATTAAAATACCCGGCAGAAACTGAAATGAGACCCTGCTCTTTTGATAAATATTAAGATTACCGAAGGGGAAATTAAGCTGCTTTGCCTCAGTCTGTCAATGATGATCACCTTACAGCTTTGCTTGAGTTTAACGACCATGAGAAAACTCACATGCACTACCATCTGAGACAGTATGCAGGCGATGGTTAATCTGAGCACAATATTGTTTTCTAAATGCTAAACTGCAGTTTTCTTTTAGGACACGTAGCTGTAGTGTTGGTGAGATGTGAAGGCATCAACATCTCTTGAAACTTCTACCGTAATACGGGTAAGTAGAGTTTATGCTCAAAAGAACCATATTTCCATTGTGCCTTATGCCTGTTGTCAGTGATGATTCCCTACTATATTGTTCGAGTTTAATTGACCATGAGACCACTACATGCACTACCATCTGAGACATCAGCATTTAATACTGCCATAATGGCTGCCCCTGCTTGGTGTCTTGAAGTATTTGTGACTCAGTTCAGTGTTTATATTTTGTTCCCCTTTACAGTGAAGTACCTGGCTTTCCTGCGTAAGAGGATGAACACCAACCCCTCTCGTGGACCTTTCCACTTCAGAGCCCCCAGCAGGATCTTCTGGAGGACTGTCAGAGGTGAGCATGAAACTAAGTGTAAAGTTGGGAAGAGGCAACTCCCAACACCTGAAATGTAATGCTGAAATATTCTTGTAGTGGGAATATCACAGCATTTACTGTGAAATAAATTGCCTTTCAGTGTCAAAGCTATTGAACAATGCTATTACCGTTTTGAATAAACAGATTACACTCAAACAAGTTGTTCAGTTCAAATGCAGTAAATGCACTTTATCTGTGGACTGCACATTGGACAGGCATTATTTACTTTGACAGAGATATTTATTCCTCTACCATGAAATGTGGCTGAGACACTAAGTCTAGTTGCAAGGCCTAAACCTTTTAATCATAAGAACCAACAAAGATCCAGTGTTGGCTAAAATATAATTGTGTGTAATCTAGGTTAATATTTGGTAATACAGGATCTTGGCATTTATTTGACCCAGCACAAGTTGTTCCTTGATTGACAGTGATGAACACTATACCGAAACTGATCATCCATTGATGAGACAACATTTCGGATCTGATTGCTGAGTTGAGATGAGGACATTCGTGTGTGCTTGGACAAATAAACTTTTGATTCAGGTTTAATTAATTGGCTATTTGAAACTGAACTAACGAGTATTCTCTGTTTACAGGCATGTTGCCCCACAAAACCAAGAGAGGACAGGCCGCTCTGGACAGGATGAAGGTGTTTGACGGTATCCCCCCACCCTATGACAAGGTGATTATTTCAATTGAAAAACAAAGGGCGGCCCTGACATCTCTGCTGTCTGTGATGTTAACATTTATACTTACTTACCTTGTTTGAGTTATGACTCTGAAAACAAACTCTCTCTGAGACATGCAAGCCTATCAATGCAAAGACATTTTGTTTTCTTCTTTTACTGATTTTGGCTTTGTTTCCACAGAGGAAGCGCATGGTTGTTCCAGCTGCTCTTAAGATCGTGCGCCTGAAGCCCACTCGCAAGGTGAGCATCCAATATCTCTCAAGAACAGACTAAATGGGATTTTGGCCACACTTAAGATTACATTTGTAGTTCTTACATGGCTTTCATATTAGCCAACATGCAGAAATACCAGTTGAATTGGTTCAACCTGCCACAACGGTTCCTACTCTACAGTGATGAACACTATACCGAAACTGATCATCCCTTGATGAGACAACTTTTCGGATCTGATTGCTGAGTTGAGAAGGGACGTTGTGCCTTTTTTATATATGAAACTTTAAACAAAGTTTATAGGTGCACTATCAAAGAACATGTGCAAGTTTGTTTTAGTTGGGAGTTTCTATTGCCTAAACTTAAGAAGGTTAATTTAGAAAATATATGATTCACTTTGAAAGTTACTGACTTTGACTTTTCTGTCTCTCAGTTTGCTCTTCTTGGGCGTCTGGCTCATGAGGTTGGCTGGAAGTACGCGGCCATCACAGCCACCCTGGAGGAGAAGAGAAAGGAGAAGGCTAAGCTGCGCTACGACAAGAAGAAGTGTACGATCAAGCTGACCAAGGTGGCAGAAAAGAACGTTGAGAGCAAGATCGCAAAATACACGGAAGTTCTTTTAGGACACGTAGCTGTAGTGTTGGTGAGATGTGAAGGCATCAACATCTCTTGAAACTTCTACCGTAACAAGCGTAAGTAGAGTTTATGTATGCTCGACAAAACACTTTTCCATTGTGCCTTATGATTTGCCTGTTGTCAGTGATGATTCCCTACTATATTGTTCGAGTTTAATTGACCATGAGACCACTACATGCACTACCATCTGAGACATCGGCATTTAATACTGCCATAATGGCTGCCCCTGCTTGGTGTCTTGAAGTATTTTTAACTCAGTTTTTATATTTTGTTCCCCTTTACAGTGAAGTACCTGGCTTTCCTGCGTAAGAGGATGAACACCAACCCCTCTCGTGGACCTTTCCACTTCAGAGCCCCCAGCAGGATCTTCTGGAGGACTGTCAGAGGTGAGCATGAAACTAAGTGTAAAGTTCAAATGCAGTAAATGCGCTTTATCTGTGGACTGCACATTGGACAGGCATTATTTACTTTGACAGAGATATTTATTCCTCTACCATGAAATGTGGCTGAGACACTATAAGTCTAGTTGCAAGGCCTAAACCTTTTAATCATAAGAACCAACAAAGATCCAGTGTTGGCTAAAATATAATTGTGTGTAATCTAGGTTAATATTTGGTAATACAGGATCTTGGCATTTATTTGACCCAGCACAAGTTGTTCCTTGATTGACAGTGATGAACACTATACCGAAACTGATCATCCATTGATGAGACAACTTTTCGGATCTGATTGCTGAGTTGAGAAGGGACGTTGTGCCTTTTTTTATATATGAAACTTTAAACAAAGTTTATAGTTGCACTATCAAAGAACATGTGCAAGTTTGTTTTAGTTGGGAGTTTCTATTGCCTAAACTTAAGAAGGTTAATTTAGAAAATATATGATTCACTTTGAAAGTTACTGACTTTGACTTTTCTGTCTCTCAGTTTGCTCTTCTTGGGCGTCTGGCTCATGAGGTTGGCTGGAAGTACGCGGCCATCACAGCCACCCTGGAGGAGAAAAGAAAGGAGAAGGCTAAGCTGCGCTACGGCAAGAAGAAGTGTACGATCAAGCTGACCAAGGTGGCAGAAAAGAACGTTGAGAGCAAGATTGCAAAATACACGGACGTTCTTTTAGGACACGTAGCTGTAGTGTTGGTGAGATGTGAAGGCATCAACATCTCTTGAAACTTCTACCGTAATACGGGTAAGTAGAGTATATGCTCAAAAGAACCATATTTCCATTGTGCCTTATGCCTGTTGTCAGTGATGATTCCCTACTATATTGTTCGAGTTTAATTGACCATGAGACCACTACATGCACTACCATCTGAGACATCGGCATTTAATACTGCCATAATGGCTGCCCCTGCTTGGTGTCTTGAAGTATTTTTAACTCAGTTTTTATATTTTGTTCCCCTTTACAGTGAAGTACCTGGCTTTCCTGCATAAGAGGATGAACACCAACCCCTCTCGTGGAGCGTTCCACTTCAGAGCCCCCAGCAGGATCTTCTGGAGGACTGTCAGAGGTGAGCATGAAACTAAGTGTAAAGTTCATATCCAGTAAATGCGCTTTATCTGTGGACTGCACATTGGACAGGCATTATTTACTTTGACCGAGATATTTATTTCTCCATCATGAAATGTGGCTGAGACACTAATGGTGCATTTCCACTACAGCGGGTAGCCCCGTTTAAGCGTCCTTAACGTCCTCAAGCGGCCAGGCCAGTTTTTGGTGGCCTTTCCATATAGCCTAGTACAGGCTAGCGGGTACTTTTTCCGGCCCCATAAAATCGTGGTTCTATCAGGCCAGGGCCAGGGCTGAACTAGTGACGTCAACACTCTCGACTGCTGATTGGTCAGAGAGAATCGTCACAAGATCGCGCGCAAGTTCATCCCTAGCGGCGCATATATATTTAGAAGCAAGCTTGCAGCATTTTTATAAACAGCATTTTGTAAACGGAGGAGCTACAAAAATGGCTACGTCTAATAATAAAAGCACACCGTGGTCGACCGAGGAGGTGACGACGTTCCTTCATATCATTGGGGATGATCAAATCCAGCGGGAGCTCGACGGAACAACTCGAAATGTGAAGCCGATCGCCCCGCTTACACTGCGTTGCTACCCCAGGTCCTAAACTGTAATGGAAATGCACCACGGCCTCGGACGGCCAGCGAGGCAGCCCGAGGACGCTTAAACGGGGCTACCCCGTTGCAGTGGAAATGCGCCATAAGTCTAGTTGCAAGGCCTAAACCTTTTAATCATAAGAACCAACAAAGATCAAGTGTTGGCTAAAATATAATTGTGTGTAATCTAGGTTAATATTTGGTAATACAGGATTTTGGCATTTATTTGACCCAGCACAAGTTGTTCCTTGATTGACAGTGATGAACACTATACCGAAACTGATCATCCATTGATGAGACAACTTTTCGGATCTGATTGCTGAGTTGAGATGAGGACATTCGTGTGTGCTTTTGACTCAGGTTTAATTAATTGGCTATTTGAAACTTGAACTAACGAGTATTCTCTGTTTACAGGCATGTTGCCCCACAAAACCAAGAGAGGACAGGCCGCTCTGGACAGGATGAAGGTGTTTGACGGTATCCCCCCACCCTATGACAAGGTGATGATCACAATTTTTTTTAAAAAAGAAACGGCCACATTGTATGCTATGTGGCCCTGACATGTCTACTCTGCTGTCTGTGATGTTAACCTTTATACTTACTTACCTTGTTTGAGTTATGACTCTGAAAACAAACTCTCTCTGAGACATGCAAGCCTATCAATGCAAAGACATTTTGTTTTCTTCTTTTACTGATTTTGGCTTTGTTTCCACCGAGGAAGCGCATGGTTGTTCCAGCTGCTCTTAAGATCGTGCGCCTGCAGCCCACTCACAAGGTGAGCATTCAATATCTGTCTCAAGAACAGAGTAAATTGTGTTTTGGCCATACTTAAAGGTAGGGTAGGTAAGTATGGAGAAACAGCTGGAGTGCGCTAGAATTTGAAAGTATGCAGCCGAAAAAAAGCTGCCCCTTCCTTACAGAGCCCCTCCTCCAACACACAGGAACGTGCACATGACCAATGAGGGCACGAGATAAGTTTGTATCCGGGCCGGCTAAAATAATTGGTCTTGCTTTTTACAGCACCACGGCTTCCACAGATTACATTTTTTTTTTTGTATGTATTTATTGTCAAAGCATTTAATGTATTCATTGCCATCGGGGTGTTAAGAGCATTCCATGGAATATAACAAAGTGTTTCTGAAGGGAATTACCTACCCTACCTTAAGAGTTAATTTGTAGTTCTTACATGGCTTTCATATTGGCCAACATGCCGAAACAAATTGCATCAATCTGCTACCGCGGTTACTACTTGACAGTGATGAACACTATACCGAAACTGATCATCCATTGATGAGACAACTTTTCGGATCTGATTGCTGAGTTGAGTAAGGGACGTTGTGCCTTTTTTTTTATTTTTATAAATAAATGTAACTTTAAACAAAGTTAATGGGTATCAAAGAACATGTTAATGTTTGTTTTAGCGGGGAGTTTCTATTGCCTACACTTTAGAAGGCCATGTGATTTGGTTATTTAGAAAAGCTATGATTCACTTTGAAAGTTTTTGACTTTTCTGTCTCTCAGTTTGCTCTTCTTGGGCGTCTGGCTTACGAGGTTGGCTGGAAGTACGCGGCCATCACAGCCACCCTGAAGGACAAGAGAAAGGAGAAGGCTAAGCTGCGCTACGGCAAGAAGAAGTGTACGATCAAGCTGACCAAGGTGGCAGAAAAGAACGTTGAGAGCAAGATTGCAAAAATACACGGACGTTCTGAAACAATATGGAGTTTGTCTTATCTAGTTTTCTCCGGCCAATAAATGTTTATAGAAAGTGTATTGACTGTTTCATTCCACTTTGCTGAAAGTTGAGCTTATATTGAAATAAAGTTAATTCCAATGTTATATTGGATTTGGCCAGTGTTTGCAAACTTGACTAAATGTATAGTGCGACCATGTGCCTAAGGGACTTGGCCAGATAAGCCAGGCGGTAATATGAAATGCATGGAAGGAGATACTGGAGATACTTTTTTTGGGCATGGGAATAAATATAGGCTTCAGGTATGAATATGGTGAATTCTGAAGGTTCTAAGGAAATCAGGCTAGATTTAAGAAATTGGGCTTTGAATGTCAAACATGCGAGTGATCTTGGTTTCGAAGGACTAACTGGGATGTATCACTCTAGTTTGAAATAAAAGGGTAAATAAGGGCCAAAAGAATTAAGACACACATTCAAGTAAGAATATTTGCTTTGTATGTTCACACTGTTCCCCCATCTTTATCTAAATTGTGGCATGTGCCATTAAGCATACTAATCTTTTACTGTAGTAAAAAGATCAGTGTTCAGAGAGCTATATTATTTTGAGTCTATTTCATTGGACATTGCTTCACTTAATTTACTGATAGATTACAAGCATGTTAAATATGGTTGATTATAACACCCTGTGGACTACATTAATTTTCACATTTAATTGAAAATAGTTTCAACAATCCTGTAAAATCACAGCGACCGCTGTAGATCAGCTTCTCTACCAGCAGAGAGCAGTGTTACCCTTAATTTGATTTGGGATCAATTGTGGAGATTCTCTTCCAAGTTACCTGATAAAAAAAACTTTATTTTCTATTGCACCAATTAGTTAAGGCAAAAAAGATGATTCAACCCTACTGACTTATTTTTGTCATAAAAAGTGTACATTTTTAAAATCCTTATATCAAATATGATCAAGAACCTTCAACGACTGAGGAAAAACACAATCCTATAAAGTGGACTTTATAAGTTTTAAAAGTCCATGTCATGGCCATTTCTACTGATCATAATTCCATTGTTGAGGTCTACTAGAATAGATTTACATTGTTCAATGTTCCAAAATCACATTGTTTTTCTCATACAGCATCTCTGTATAGTGTGTGTTGGGGAGGCTGTGGCTCAGTGGAATAGTGCGCTGAACTTTGAATCGGGGGATAGCAAGTTCGAGTCCCATTGCAGTCAGCATGTCGTTGTGTCCCTGGGCAAGACACTTCACC